TGTTGACAGAAAGGGCTTGCTTACAAAATTTCATGTGGAAAATTTCAAGATCATGTAGCACTTCAAATCCCCATATCTCACTTCCATAGAGCAGAATGGGCAACACAAGTTGATCAAATAATTCCAAGAGGATATCAATAGGTAAGTGCAGTTGATAAGTTTTAGATAATAGACTATACATTGCTCGTCTAGCTTGATTAAGTTGCTTAATTTGAGCTTTACGAAATTTGTTGTTGTAGTTAAAAGTAGTTCCAAGATAGACGTATTCATCAACAACTTCTACAATATCATGATCAAATTTAAATATAGGAATTTTTCGAACTTTACCACGAGAAAATACCACAACTTTGGTTTTAGCTGTGTTAACTTGAAGAAACCATTTTTTACAGTAATCAGATACTGCATCAAGAGCAAGCTGAAGTTCACTTTCAGTTTTTGCAAGAACTATTGTATCGTCTGCATACAGTAATGTAAAAAGCCTGAGATATACATCTATACCTTTTTGATACGCAGCTGCATCAATCTTGTCAGGAAGAATATGTATGCCTCCAAACTTTTCACAAATGAATTGTTTGAAGTCATTTAAAAAAAGGGCAAATAGCATCGGAGACAAATTTTCTCCTTGTCGCACACCAATGTTACAATCAAATGAAGAAGACTTTTCTGTACCAGAAATTACACATGACTTAGCCTGAGCATACATATGCTTAATTACATTGAAAAACTTTCCATCAACATTATTCTTAAGTAATTTATTCCAAAGAGAACTCCTGTCAACCAAATCAAATGCCTTCTTGTAGTCAATAAATGCACAATAAACCCTCTCTTTTGAAGAGAGATATAAATCGATCACTGAATGAAGAACAAAAATGTGATCAAGCGTTGAATGACCATTTCGAAAACCAGCCTGTTCATCACCTAGCAATTCATTATCTTCGAGATAAGACGTAAGTCGCTCATTCAAGACTGCTGTAAACAGCTTGCCAAGACAACTAAGCAATGTTATTCCTCTATAGTTGTTCGGATCATTAGGATTTCCTTTCTTCTTATAAAGAGGGTGAATTAACCCTATTGTCCATTCAGATGGTACAATTCCACTTTCTAATACAATGTTAAATAACCTAATGATTACTGATAAAACAGACTTTGTGCTACACTTCAAAAATTCATTTAGAACTAAATCATCGCCATGTGCCTTACCGTTTTTCAGTCTATTTATTTGACGTGTTACTTCTTCCCTGCTTATAGAACGATTGATACATTGATTGCTCGAAAGAATTTGGTCAGGTTCTAATATATCTGCATTATCTCTTTGGTTTTGGCTCAGACCACGAAAGTGTTGTTCAAGAGAATGAATTTCAATTGGGGTTTTTTCATTATTTAAACCGTTAGCTGAATTAATAATTTTCCAATATGCTTGTGGTTGATTGATTTTAAGATTTCTTAATTCACTGTGGATTTTTATATCAAAGTTGCTTTGAGCTGAACGAATAGCTTTTTTATACATTTTCTTAACTTTGGTATATTCCTTTTCAATACTATCAGATTTATCAGTCTTCCTAAGATTTTTAAGATGAAAATACTGAGCCCTTAACCGAGCACAGTTTGCATCAAACCATGGTTTCCGCTTTCGACCAGATTTACAAGGTTTATAATTTCCATAGGTTTTTACCATTCCACTTTTTTTGGCCGCCGTAAGGTAAATATTTTTTAATAAACAAGCTACATTATCGATTGATTCCTGATCAATCTGAATGTCGTGACCCTCCAAACGATCAACAGCATGATGTATATTTTCAACTAGACTTTGATCGATGTTATCAACAAAATCTTTAGCAGAATTTACACTCCATTTAATTTTCGTCGTTGATCCCGAAACTTTTTTCACTTTTCCTTCACTTTTACATTTTTCATAACTGCTTTCGCTATTCAATCTTAATACAATGGGATTATGTTTGTCAGACAAAAAAGGGTCAAATACATCAACCGCAAAATGATTAAGGACATGGAATAATTCGAGCGATGCGGCACAATAATCAATGGTACTTGTGTTAGCACATGTAAAATCACCTTGTTTATCCACGCCTACACGACCGTTTGCAATAATCAGTTTAAAATGTCTACATAGTTCAAGAAATCTTTTTCCGTGGTTATTAATAACAGCGTCGCTGTTACATCTTCTCAACCTTATGTTATAAGTCTGGAAATTATCAGTGTTTATATAATCGTTATCAAAATCATTCACATAATGACTGTTGGCGCAATCCTCAGAATAACCAGAGATTTCATTTTCAACACCTGTTCTTGCATTAAAATCTCCAAGAAGACAAAATGGCATGTTATGTACATTTTTTAACATGAGAAGATCAGAAGCAATGTCATCAAACATAGACTCGTTAAAATATTTAGAATTTTCAGGAGGAATGTAAACAGCACCAAGTATAAACGGAAATCCAAATGCCTTCTCGCCGATCTTTAACCAAAATACTGTTTCAGATTTAGCCTGTTTAATAATTGACACAAAATTGAATATTTCTTTTCGTAGTAGAACACCAAGTCCATGAACGCCACCAAACGGAAAGTTGCTTTGACTTGGTTTGTCTTTAAAGAGGTATTTGAAGCCATCAGGTAAAAAAGGTTCATTAATATCGTCAACTTTAGTTTCACTCAAACATACAATATGAAAATCTTTAATGTACTGTTCCAATATTCCATCATTTAATTTTTTTCTTAACCCGCAAACGTTTAAACTTAAAAAATTAGCGTGCTTCGTCACATTCACCGGGCCGACGTATCCCTACCCCATCAAGAAAAGACCTGAAGAACGAAGACGGTCCTCGGACCACCCGATCTTCAGGAGGTCATCAGGCGTGTCGATGATTACCTTCGTGCCGCCATTCAGTAGGCAAAAGATTCTGCCATCGATGGTCCAGACTTTCTCGATACTTTCACGGTCTTCTTTTACCTTCCTGAGCATCTTGGCACGGAGCGAAGTCAGATCTTCTGCGATGAAGACATCCCGCTTCGTCTCCCTCAGTCGTCGCTTCTTCTTCATGAACTCCGTCCTCTTCTCTCTGCGAACGAACTTGGCCAAGATTGGCGCCGGCTTACCAGATCGTCCTCCAGGTAGACGGTGAGAGACGCTGATGTCATCTCTCGTCACCTCCACACCAATCTCCCTCCCCAGCTTCACCACCACATCGGACGTGTTCTCCCCAGCTATCACAGGCAGGCCATAAATCTTGATGTTTTCCCGACGACTGTATTGCTCCAGACGGTCCACCTCAAACCTTAGAACGTTGGTCTGGGCGGATGCTGCTGCTGACGGAGTAGGAGGAGGAGGAGGAGGAGGAGGAGTCAATTTCCTCAAGCCTTCCATCACAGAATCCATGGCTGCAGTTACAGCAGTCGCCACGGTCTTGATGATGATTGGTTGCAGAACCTCAACAACCTGACGCACTAGATCTGCGACGAGATCGTTGTTGAGCTTCGGTCCCGGTGTCCTGGGCGTTGTCGAAGACTGCGGCCTCTTCTTTGTGCTAGCACCAGCAACCAAGGCATAACTAACAGCTTCCGAGACGGAGTCCTTAACAGTAGATTTCATAGACACTTCATCGTCTAGTATGTGAAAGTTACTCGCCATAACAAATTAACAGGTGTCTAAGCTATGACGTAATAATAGAGATGCGCGAATGATGAAGCGTTACAACCAAAGAAGTGATGAGGACGCGTAAAGTAAGATAAGCAGATGAAAGTGATGGTTGTTAACGGAATGTTTTTTTATTGTTATGAAAATTGAGTAGATACGCGTAGGGCCTATACCTTGTTGATATTCAAAAGTTCTTATTGACCGAAAAACGAAACGAAAGTCACAAAAGTCTCCAAAATTGAGATGAAAAATTATTGATTTCACGAGAAAATTTTCAGAAAATAATCACCATCACGTACGCCATCCAGCGAAGTATAGGAGTTCACGTGAAAATGTAAAATGTCTGCAAATAAGGCAATTTATCGGAGAGCTCAACAAAATACGTCCACCTGTCCACCTGTTTTCTGTTTTCTCCCAAAGATGCTGGTCCTTTGCGTAACTTAACTAGTATGGCGCAATATTTTTGCGCACAATTGTTTTGATGCTACGCAGAGTGTTCAAATTTGAAATATAAATTCGCTAAAAAACTGGATTAAAATTGACGAAAAACGAATATATCTCGGAAAATGTTCACATACCGTCGAAAAGAGTGAAATGTCCACAATCACAGGAAAATTTCCAAGACGTAGATGTATAACAGTCAAAAGAAAGTGCACTATAAACGCACAAAATATGGGAATTTACGGAGCACCACAAACACACGTCTGCCTCTGTCAGAGGCAAAAAACATAAAAAACTACTAGTCAGATACCAGAATATAAATGTACAAACTACACATGACCACCAAACTACTCGTCAGATACTAGAATGAAAATGACCAAAAGGAAACATGATTAAAAAACTAATGGACGGATACCTGAATGAAAATGAACAAAATAATCATCACTACAAAACTACTCTTTATAATATGGAGTGTTTCGTCAACGCTGTGAAAATACTCTTTACCGTTTTACAAGTAACATTTTTGACTAAATAAACATGGCCCGTATTCTGAAGTCGTGTCTAACTCCTGTTTAACTAAACAGTTGTCAATAGTCCTGTCTAAGTCCCGTCTAACTTTAGACACGAAGTCGTGTCTAACTTTTTTGGTATTCTGCAGTCGTGTTTAAATAAAGTTAAACACGAAGTCCTGTCTAAGTCCTGTTTAACTTTAGACAACTGCGAGGGGTTGTTTAAGTCCTGTTTAAGGGCGCGATTCTGCTGCTTTTCAACGTGTACGGTACTCTCTACCTGCTGACCCCGAACTTGCGGGGGAGAACGATAGTACGGGCATCCTCTAAAATTTCAAATACGTTTTGCAAGATTTTTTCTCGTGTAGCCTGATTTTTTTTCTCGATAATATCAACTGTTCTTATCTAATGATGACACGTTGGAAATTCCATTATCTATAATAAATTATCCATTTTGTTGGAGAAGTTTCTTTTCTGTATCTTCCGAGCCCCGGGCCGGGGCCCCCATTTATGCCTGGTTACGGTAGCTACGCGTCTATCAATTACAATCATCATGGCTGCCGCAGCGGAGGGTTTGCTCCATGACCTCGAGCATTATGAGAATTTTCTGAATATTTTTAATCAGCACCAGCAGCAAGTAGTAGAGAGAGTAAACAGGAAAGATCCATTTCAAGTGTACAACGAAGCCGAGTTTAGATACAGGTACCGCTTTTCAAAGCAGACGACGTTGGAGTTGATTGATATTCTGAGCCCTACGCTAGCTCGGCACACCACTCGAAGGGATGCACTGCCTGTCCATTTACAGGTTCTAACAGCCTTGAGATTTTACGCCGTGGGTGAGTTTGAAACATTTTCGATTGTCTCTGATATATGCGTCTTATTCTTCGTTTTTTATGTCCAAATAATGACATTCTTAAATTACCAACGATGCTCCCATTTTAGTCTTATTTTTAATTTAGATTCATGACAACCACACGTGCATGCACAGTCGTTACTAGACCGAAAGCTTCAGTCTCTATAATCGTCGGTTGTTCCACTGAGACTACGTCTGGCTCCACTAGACCTCCGGTTATAGAGACTGAACGACTGCCTATGCCAGCCTGTGTTGAACTTATTCCGCTAGATTTTAGCCGTTAGGCCCCTCCCACAAACATGAACAAACTTGCCACGGCCGTATTGTTATGCCCCCAAAATCCCCCAAAATGTCATTTTACCTCGTTCATTTCCAATTTTAAATTAGGCCTAGGCTATAATACATCGGTTCCACTTACTAACTTGATTGATATAATCCGTTTAATGGTCCCTTTTAAGGAAATTATCGGTCAAAATCGACATCCATGTTGAAAATCTTGCAAGCCGTGTTAAACTCTCGCTGCCGTCAATCTCATCCCTTCTAGTCTACGCCGAAGGCAAAATGATTATGAAGGAAAAACTGTGCGCCATCTACACGTTCGTAATGGCGTTATCACAGTTTTTCCTTCATAATCATTTTGCCTTCGGCGTAGACTAGAAGGGATGAGATTGACGGCAGCGAGAGTTTAACACGGCTTGCAAGATTTTCAACATGGATGTCGATTTTGACCGATAATTTCCTTAAAAGGGACCATTAAACGGATTATATCAATCAAGTTAGTAAGTGGAACCGATGTATTATAGCCTAGGCCTAATTTAAAATTGGAAATGAACGAGGTAAAATGACATTTTGGGGGATTTTGGGGGCATAACAATACGGCCGTGGCAAGTTTGTTCATGTTTGTGGGAGGGGCCTAACGGCTAAAATCTAGCGGAATAAGTTCAACACAGGCTGGCATAGGCAGTCGTTCAGTCTCTATAACCGGAGGTCTAGTGGAGCCAGACGTAGTCTCAGTGGAACAACCGACGATTATAGAGACTGAAGCTTTCGGTCTAAGTCGTTACAGACTAGTCCCGCACGCTGCAATTTATTTTACGTTTTCAACGTCTGCCCAATGTTGTCATTCACTGATTACCATTGTCATTGACATTGCTATAGACTAGGCCTATCGTGAATTTCGTATCTGTGAGAAAGTCTTCCCAGTGCAGTGCAGCGTCATGACTTCAGTAATCTTCTGTTACTTATTTGCTTCTGCGAAGTTCTGGGTCTTAAGTTAACTCTCAATCTTAATCTTATCATAAAATCATGGATTCTGGAATTACATTTTCATTTTGGGGTCCCCTTCCTCGCACACATAGCTGCATTACTATCCTGGCTGTGTATTAAAACCTATTCTATTGATTCTCAACATTTCAAACACCTCTTTATTTCAAGTCCAGACTTAATGCTAAGAAAAATGTATAGACCCTAGGCCTAGAAGTATAGAGGTCTAGTGAATTCTCTATGGCCTTAGTATGGGTCTACTGCTATTACTCATCACCACCTGTTGATGTAGAAATAATAGCAATAAATTAGGGCCTACTATTAGAATGGTGATCGTCTACGTCTACGTCTATGCTGGTACTCGTCAAAAGCCTTTTCAGCAACTAAACGAGGATATTGTGGTGTGGTGTCTCTCATAGTGGTCATGATTGACTGATTAGTGCATAGTGCGTATATACAAGTTGTGCGAGTAAAAACAGATCCTCCTATGATTTAGGCGCTGATGGCTCCCTTGAACTTCTCCACAGAGGGCAGTTCAATGAAGTTGGTAGGGAGCTCATCCCAGTCCCGGAGTGTTCTTGGGAAGAAACTTTGCCTGTAGCTGTCAGAGTTGGAGCTGGGTCTCATGAATCTGTGTCGGTGTTGCTGACGTGTTGAACGGAGTCTTGGTTGGATGTAGTCTGGAATTGGTACTGCGACTAGGTGGTTGATGGCTTTGTAAAGCATGGTTAATCGGGCTTGCCTGCGTCTCTCCTCTAAGGGTTGGAGTGCTAGATCTTCTCTCATTTTGGTGACGCTGGCATCTCGTTGGTAGTTTCCGCATATGAAGCGTACTGCCCTTCTTTGGATTTTCTCAAGCTGGTCAATCTGATTTTGTCTGTATGGATCCCAGACGACGGAGGCATATTCTAGCTGGGAGCGTACCAAGGAGATGTAGGCCTGTTGTTTAATATGCGATGAGCATTTGCTGATGTTTCTTCTTAGGAATCCCAAGGTTCTTCCTGCTTTTGCTGCAACGGCATTGATATGAGGCTTCCAGCTGAGATGCTCATGAATTTCAACTCCAAGATAGGTTTGACTAGGTACGGCTTGCAAGATATCCCCTCCTAGTTTGTAGCTGTGGATGATTGGTTCTCGCTTCCTATGTACTCTCAGAGTGTGGCATTTCTTAGAGTTAAAATTCATTTGCCAGTCTTCTGTCCATTTGTTCAAGGTGTCAAGGTCTTTCTGTAGTGTGGTCGTATCTTCTGTTGTCTTTATTTCTCGGAATATGAGGCAGTCGTCAGCGAATAATTTGATGGAAGAGTTTATGTTGTCTCTGATGTCGTTGATGTACAGCAGGAACATCAGCGGCCCTAACACTGTACCTTGGGGTACCCCCGAGTCGACGTGAACTGTAGACGATGCTTCCCCATCAATTACTACTCTCTGTGTTCGTGTAGTAAGCCACGTCTGGATCCATCCATTGGTTTCATCTCTTATTCCATAGTGTGCAATCTTCTTTAGTAAGCGTTGATGTGCTACCGTGTCGAATGCCTTGGAAAAGTCGAGTATCAAGACATCTGTCTGAATCTTCTTGTCTAAGGATCTTGTGACTTCTTCCAAGGTGTTGACTAGCTGGGATTCGGTTGAGTGTTGTTTTCGAAATCCATGTTGACAGTTGGCAAGAAGTTGGTGTTCATCAATATGTCCCATAATGGAATGAGATATTATATGCTCCATTAATTTAGTGGTAACACAAGTCAATGACACAGGGCGGTAGTTGCTAGGTATGTTCCTATTCCCCTTTTTGTAGATTGCAACAATATTGGCTGTCAACCAGTCTTTTGGCAGTGTGCCTGTCTCATATGACTGCGTGAAGATCAACTGCAAGATGGGAGCAATCTCATTTGCCGCTTCTTTCATGATACGAATGGGGATCAGATCTGGTCCGCTTGCCTTACGGGGATTTAAGTTGTCCAACAGTTTCTTAATTCCATCAGTATTGAAGATGACGTTTGCCATACCTGGAAATGGACTTTCGCCTTTGTCAGGAAAACTTGCAATGTTCTCTTGTGTAAACACGGATTGATACTGACTATTCAGTGCCTCAGCCTTTTCTTTGCTGGTGGTTGCTAGGCCGGACGCAGTTTTCAATGTGGGTATACCCCCATTGTCTTTCTTTTGGCTATTGATAAATTGCCAGAACTTTTTCTGAGATTCTGTGATTGTGTTCTCCAAAATGCCACCTACATAGTCTTCATAGGATTTTTTCATATGCTGCTTAACCTTCTTACGCATATCCCGAAACGCTTGCCAGATCTCCTCACTGTTGTTTTTTCTTGCTCTGTTCCATGAAGTTTTTTTTCTCTTTAATTCATGCTTTTTAAGGATCTTTCCAAATTCTTCATGGTGATGATGCTTTGATGTCTCAGTCCTCAGTGTCACGAGTTGTCTTAGACGTGTCAACCGCTTTGGCTACTCTCCGACCAAGGTACATACAGTTTCCGAGAACGCCACAGGAGGTTTTGAGAGTACAGCAGAGATTCTTTGATTACTCTCAGTTCCCAGGTAGGGATTTAAAATTAAAATTTAAAATTGAATAATTCACCACTTGATTAAAATACGATTCAATGCGCCCTTGGCGAGCGTGGAGCTAGTACTTGGAAATATTTACGATTAGCAGTCAATTTAATTTTATAATATTAAATTATGTGTATCACGTTATTCATGTGTACATGTATTCATGTAGTATGATAATTTACATTGTAGATGTTGTTAAAATCAGGGCTTAAATTAATCCAAGGCCACCATGGCCATGGCCGTGGATGCCCTTTTGATTGGCCTCAATGCCCCTCTCATTGGCCTTGGAGATTTTTTGTGCCCTTTCCAATTCTTCCTATCTGTGCTGTAATATAGGAGTGCCCTACAGAAAAGTGACTTTGCCCTAAAATATTGAAATTTAAGGCCTGTAAAATCACATAGATCTACTCTGTAATGTTCGTAAGATGTCATTTAATAAATACAGTAGGCCTACTATAATGTAGCTAGAGAGCATGAGCAGAGCTTTAAAATTAACATAATTGTTTTATGATTCAATAATAAAGTGGAACAATAATTTAAACAATTCTATGGATTCCATTTCATGCAGCCAGAACGTTTTGCACCTTGCATGATATTGATGTTTGTAAATTTCTCTTTCCCAGGCGTCATCGGTGCTGTGGACTGCACCCATGTGCCCATACAAAATCCAGGTGGGGAACAAGCGCAGAGGTTCATAAATCGGAAAAACACGTCTTCTTTGAATGTGCAGGTAAATTTAAATCACTGTATTTTTTAAATAGGCCTACATTTGTTCTATTTAATTACATAAACAACAGATTGTATTTCTGCTTTGCTCTAGATATTACATGTGGTCCATAGTTTGTTTTCACCTCAGACAGAACACCTCTTTGAGTAGCCACGTTAGTCATAACTCACAGACATAACCATTCTGAACCATGCACTCTGCATTGCATTGATTGCATGGGTGCCGGTTGTGGAATGACCCTCGCCCATGCATTATGTTAAATGCACTGTTTGCTCTGATGATATTGTGTGTCGGTGTGTAAATTGTCATTCCATTTACAGTGTAGATGTGGTCAAGGCCTATGTATAAATGATGAACTTCAAAAGAATTATTAGTAACTAAGTTTGTCGTTTGAATCTTGTATTACTCTTTGGACATGTGCACTCTCGATGAAAGTGTACAGGATGGGCTCCCCCTTCCTCGAAGCTGTTATGGAGAACACAAAGGAAACTTCTGCAAAGATGTTTATAAGAGCTATGCATTTTTAAGTTGTTAGTGTAGTTGGATTTAAAACAGACACTGGTATATTCATTTTGTTTGTATGTTAATTCAAATGTAAATATTAAATAATACCCTATTCCATTGTTGTTTGATTTACAGATGATATGTGACTGTGACGGAAGGATCCTCAACGTAGTCGCACGATGGCCAGGTGGGTCTCACGACTCCAGAATTTTCAGGGAGTCTGCCATCAAGCACCAACTGGAGGCCGAGAGGCAGGATGCCAAGTGGCTATTAGGAGATAGTGGGTAAGTTTTGAGTTTCGTGTTATGTCATTCAGAAAGTATGACAAGCCTACACACTAACATCTCTTTCTCTATTGGCCTGTTTAGGCAAGCAAAATCATAATACTTCTACACAGGGTTGGCATGATTTAAATCGCCTCAATCTTTTGTTTAATCACAGATTTAAACCACCTCCGTAGACTTCTTTAATTTAGAAAACATTTTAAAAGGGCTTCAAAAAAATTGTTTAGGTTTAAACAAATCATGAAAACAGCCTTTAGTTGAATTGAAATGGTTTTCATTAATTTTTATTTCACAATTTTACCCCAATTCTGCTTTTTACGTTTACTTGCCCGAACATAAAACTTACCTGAGATTTATTACAGATGATTTGACTGAATTTCATTGTGCTTTTTAATAATGCAATTCCTCATTGAATGTATTCCTGTCTTATTGAAATAATCACTCATACTGTTGGACTAGTTCCTTGAAATGATGCAATATTCTTGTTTATTCATTGCCCTTTCTTTATAAATGTTATTCGTTCACTCAGATATGGATGCCAGCCATATGTGATGACACCCCTCCTACAACCAGCAAATCCTGCAGAGCAGCGGTATAATACCGCTCACAAACGCGGGCGTTGCATCATTGAACGAACTTTTGGCCAGATGAAGCGACGCTTTCCGTGCTTGAAAGGGCTGAGGCTAAAGCTCGAAACAACCATGACCACCATTGTAGCGGTTACTGTTCTCTGGAACATTTCATTAGAAAGGAGAGAACCAGAGATCGACGGCCCTGAAGTTCTTCATGAAATTCCTGGAGACATTCGTCCACTACCTGGCGGACGAAATGTTGAAGGGCTGATTAGGAGGGACAACCTGATCAGGCAGCACTTTGCATAGATGTTTAATAGTATATCAATCAGTGAAATAGGGTAATACCTACTGGTATTTAAACTGAGCTTCATTGTAAACTTGAAATCGTATTTTTTTTTCTATTAACAAAGGGTCTCTTGCATTTTCATAGTGCCAAAGGCAACATTATGTATGACACAAACAAGAATATGTGTCGTAGTCTTGTAGAGGTATTTCAAGATTATAGTGTTAAATGACATGTATTGCAATATTTATATCAAGTTATTTATTGGATGAATCTGTATATTTGTATCATCTCATACAATGTTTTATGTTTTCAAAATGACCATTATTACAACTGGGATAGTGAAATATATTGTAGCAAATTTGCAATTTATTTAATGATTGTTGTGCAATGTACGTTTTATATATGCTTGAAATATTTGCAGATAATATACAATAAGTATCTGTATAGTACATGTAGATAAGTACTTATCCCATCAACAATTTGTATAAATTATTTCACTCATATCAGGTGTACAAGCCTTGCAATCCTATGTCTCTGGTTTGAATTCCAGGGAAACCAAATTCAATATACTCATTTTCAATTCTATAATAAATTGTTAACTGTGAATGTTTATTTTTTAGATTACAGAAATGCGTACACAACTATCTATTACTATAGTTGTCTTAATAGTGATTTAATAGATTCTTGTTTTTTATATTTAATATTATAATATATTAATCTATATATCCAGATTTTGTTGCATCGCAATCAGATTTAAATGTACAGGTATTTATTGAAATTATCAGATGCTCAAGTGAAAGTGATTATTCTGGCAATATTGGCATGCAAATGGATGTAATGTAGAAAATAACGGGTCTGATTTGTAAAAAATACTATGAATTATATTTTATTGAAGTATGGGTAACTTGGCTTTGAATATGAATTATATCTTATGCAAATGTGTAAAGTTTTACGGAAAAATAAATTTATCTCAAAATGTAAACAAACACATTCATCCTTTTTCTTTCTCTCTCAAACTATATATTTTAAAAACGTGAAGTGAAGTGGAATACAGTGAAACCTTGTTATAACGAGCACCTCCTTACCATTCATTTGACCTTGTTTTTTTATCAGATATCTTTTATCACGACTTAAACTTTGATATAACTTGGACCAGTGAAATTGCCTTCCACATCAGGAACCTTGTTATATAGAGGTTCCACTCTATTTACATTTTACCTTTTTTTTAGATCTTACTTTCCCACTTGGAAATGAGTGTGTGGATGTCAGAGTAAATAGAATGATAATTTTTATTAAAAAATGACAACATGAAAGAAACTAATAACACATCATTTAACGTTCAATTTTGCATGTAAATGCAAACAATTTATTTAAACTTTCAAAGAAGATTCAATTATCTCAAGCTTCTTAAGGATGTAAGTCTTCTCCAGTTGGAGAAGTTGCATCCTGGCCTTGTGCTCCTCTTCTTTCTGCTGTCGCTCTTCCTCCATGTTGTGCAGCTTGGTCTCATGCTCTTTTTTGCCCCACCCTCTTATGGCATCGTGGACAACAGTCTGTGTAGGAGTCTGTGGTGGTATAGGGGAAGGACTGCCACGAAATCTCTTGGATGGGGTTGACCTGTGAATTAAAAAGATAAAAATAAAATAGGATTTGTCCATTAACATTTAAATCAACAGGATTAGCCAATCGATACATATCCACATTTATTTTGGTTAATAAGACCCTGCCATTGGCATGCATGAAATGATGTATACATGTATTCATTACAATGAGGATACAACATTATCATTATTGTAAATATGACAATATGGATTGTGCTAACATTATTTCTACATTATTACATGAAGATATTTAAGGGCGAAGTAGTTGTGTGACTTTGGTGCATTACTCAATCAATTTTTGAGAAATGAAATACCCCATATACTGTGAGTGTGAACACACCTATCGAGATGAAGTGAGATGTGACTGCTTGTGGATGGAGTGGCATCGGCCTGCTGGGCAGTGACAGGGTACAGAGTAGGTGGGGGATGACGACTTGCCTCCAGGGCTAGGGGAGCCGTAGCTCCTTCAGATGGTTGATCGAGAGAGTCCAAACTGTATATAAAGTGAACAAATTAAACAGCACTAAATAATCATTTTTGTTTAACCATGTCAATTATAGAATTAAACCCTCCCATTTATGTTAGTTTAGCAAGGCTTTATCGAGCTCACTCAAAACTCACACCCATGCGCACCAACACACACACACACACACACACACACACATGCACGGGTAAAACTATATTTGGAAACTTATGAAAGGTTTGTTTACTTCAGCGATGGGCGTTTCTCCCCGGCGATGAAGAGTTCTGCTGTCACGGCTTCGGGGTTGTTCCCCGTGATGTAGCAGTCGTCGTCAAACGGATTCCGTATTTCACTGAACTCTGTGGGCACGAGACGTTTGACCTCCTTCGCCATCATGGACGGCTCGGCTGGCGGAGGACCTCCGCCCGTCTTCCCCGTTTGCGATCTGAAAGATGACCATTCTGCCTTCGCCTGCAGCTTCATCCGCCGCCACTGATCTTTGAGCTCCCTCTCATCTCGTTTCTCGCCGTATCTAATAACAATACAATACAACAAATAAAGCCGTTGTTTATATATGATGGCATCCACTAATATTATTATGAGTAGCTGCTGCAAATTAGCCTAGATTATTATATTCAAGCAGAACCGCAATTGAATTCAACAATGTTATTAAATGTTTGATCTAGTCGATTAAATTTTAGTAACATTAATAGTTCATATCATGACATACCTTGAAGAGAAGTCCGCCAAGATCCTACTCCAAGCCACTTTCTTCGCTGACGTAGCTGCATAATTATTGTTTTTCACTTCAACTACCTCGATGATTCCATCGCCAGCCAACAGACTTAGCAGATGGGACTTCTCTGCCCCATCCCAATTTGCCTTTCTTTTCACATTTTTACCGTCCATTTTACTAGCAAGGTCTCGATCAACGTTAATTAATGAGTATTTGACGCACTGATATAGTTTGTATTGAGCGCCAGTAATTCGCACGATCATAATTGCACTAGCACTGTGCGGGTTAATTTTTTTTATCCGGTGCGCGCACCCATGCGCACCCGGTCTGTCGTCTGCAGGAATGTCAGAATGAATGCCTACTGGGCATGCGCAGAAGTCGCGACTAAAGTTAAACACGACCTGCGCAGAACTTAAACAGTTGTTATAGTTAAACACCACTTAGACCACTGGCGTACTGGTGGGGGAGCTAGGGGGGGCGCCAGCCCCCCCAAATAAAATGAAACCATGACTTATTTTTAATTCCATACAGGTGATTTATAAATGTTCGTGATAATAACATGATTTTCAACAAAATGTGCGTTTTTCCATTTCTGTTGCAAACTGACACATTCGCAAATAGCCAGGAAGAGCAATGTTTTTAATAGTCACTAATGGGCATTAGTGGCCACTAACAGTAACACTAGTAGAAACCTTTCCAGAAGCTATACTGCGACAAGCACTACCGGGAGATAACATGCAACCCACCACTCGGGCTGTGCATGCACAGATTTGCGAACGATCGTTCCATATACGTACATGTACATCGTCAGGATCAGTGGGGAAACTGAATCCAGACAAGGATTAACGGTACACGAATCGCCTTCTTTCTCTGATAATTTAATGAAACGTGAAAGCTTCCGCGCTACGCGCGGTATGAGCGAAAATGATTTCAGTAATAATTAATTGAAACGTCAAAGCTTCCGCGCTTCGCGCAGAAGGGCGGGGGGGAGGGGAAACTGAATTCAGACAAGGACACGATACAATGAATCGTCTTTTTTCTCTAATAATTTAATGAAACGTGAAAGCTTCCGCGCTACGCGCGGTATGAGCGAAAATGATTTTAGACAAGGATTAAGAGTAATAATTAAATGAAACGTCAAAGGGGGACGGGGGGGGGGACTGAATTCAGACAAGGACACGCTACAATTATTAATCGTCTATTTTTTCTAATAATTGAATGAAACGTGATAGCTTCCGCGCTTCGCGCGGAGGGGGGGGGGGGACTGAATTCAGACAATTAGAACACGTTATAATGAATCATCTTCTTTCTCTAATAATTTAATGAAACGTGATAGCTTCCGCGCTTCGCGCGGGATGGGCGAAAATGAATTCAGACAAGGATTAAGAATAACGTCAAAGCTTCCGCGCTTCGCGCGGGAGGGGGATGGGGGAACTGAATTCAGACAAGGACACGATACAACGAATCGTCATCTTTCTCTAATAATTTAATGAAACGTGATAGCTTCCGCGCTTCGCGCGGGATGGGCGAAAATGAATTCAGACAAGGATTAAGAATAACGTCAAAGCTTCCGCGCTTCGCGCGGGAGGGGGATGGGGGAACTGAATTCAGACAAGGACACGATACAACGAATCGTCATCTTTCTCTAATAATTTAATGAAACGTGAAAGCTTCCGCGCTTCCCGCGGGATGAGCGAAATTGAATTCAGACAAGGATTAAGAGTAATAATTTATTGAAACGTCAAAGCTTCCACGCTTCGCGCGGGAGGGGGCGAACTGAATTCAGGCAAGGATAAAGAGTCGGGAACGGTACAATAAATCGTCTTCTTTCTCTAATATTTAAATGAAACGTCATAGCTTCTGCGCTTCGCGCGGGAGGGGCGTGCGAAACAAGAAGAGTCGAGAACGGTATAACCGATCGGCTCCTTCCTCTAATAATTTAATAAAGTGTCACAGCTTCCGCGCTTCGCGCGGGAGTGGAACAACTGAAAAATAACTTAGTTCCTGGCCCCGGATTTATAGGCTTAAATTAGTAGATATTGGGGCATTAGTGTTAATATATTTGTCGGTAATTGGTGGCTAGTTTTGTCAGTTAGCGGTGGCCTCTACAACCCTCCTACCCCCCCCCCCCCCTGAACGTCTAATCAATCAGAAGGCCTCTTTTTTCCAGGAAGTGCCGGTGGACATTAATGCGCCAAATATGATTCTCAAATTGCAAAAGATCTCTTGGAGGGGGTAGGAGAAAGCAATTTTACGTCATATTACTCCAGGAAGTGCCTGAAAATGCGTCTAATGTGGTTCTAAAATTGCAAATGCTTCCTACTCAGGGAGGGGGTCAGAACCCCCTGCCAGACCCACCCCCGCTTGGTCGCTCCGCTCCCTCGCCGCTAAAGCCTCGCTCTGTCGCTTTATCGTTTTATATATATTTAACCCCATGCCATTTTGTGCCCCCCCCCCCTCCGGTAAGATATTCCTGAAACCGCCACTGTTTTCCCATACCCCTTGAGCTTCGGGGATCCGCCCCTTGACCCCCGTCGGGGCTTTACCCCTAGACCTCACTTTGACAAACGTTCAGCCCCCCCAAACGTTTTTGCTCATTACGCCACTGACTTAGACAGGACTTAAACAGTTGTTTAGTTAGACGAGACTTAGACACGACTTCAGAATACGAAATTTAGTTAGACAGGACTTAGACACGACCTCGCGTCTAAGTCCTGTTTAAGTCTTGTCTAACTAAACAGTTGTTTAACTGTAGTCGTGGCTAAGTTAGACACGACTTCAGAATACGGGCCATTGACATTTGGATAACATAAAACAATTAATTTTATGACAAAGTTTGACTATTGAAATATACGTATACATATGGCATATTTTCATTATTAGCCTCCACTTTATTATCTATAAATGTAAAGCAACATTTTGCGAATTGTATTAACAAGCCATTTTTTTTTCTTCATTCAGAAGACAGTCTGGGAATGAAAGCTAGAATAAAGTGAAGATACATATCTTTAAACTTACTGTAAAGAATGTCATAGTATCATACATTGATATCCCACTCAATCTAATTATATTCAATTTAAGATGGTATTTCTTAAAAAAATCATGCGTTGCAACATAATTATGACAATACGTTGTAAAATGAACAATCAAAACAAAATAACAGCAAACATAATACAGTTTTACATTTTATAGAATAGTGTACATAAATATAGTTGATGATAACATTAATGGCATTTCATACGTAGAAATGAAAAAAGATATAATTTAGTATTTTAAACAAATAGTCCTTACATAAAAGGGACTTGATAACATTGTTAAGATAAGAACAAGTGGTGCTAAGGTAGTGACTTAAATGCTCGATGTACAATTAAAGATAATCTTAGTAATTTTAGTGAAAATGGACCATTATTAATGATACAAATTGGGAAAAACTGATCTGATCGATTCTTTAATTCTCCCAATTGTATTACTACAATCTGAATACATTTTAGGTGAATGTTAATCACTGTTAGAGGGTGTTGCACAGTGACGCTTTCAAAGAAAACCATACATATCTTTGTGGTTTGAGAATGGTTGTAGTATTATGTGCATGTTAGAGGGTTAGTACATTAGAAGGAATATATTAAGTAACATCTTATACCAAAATTACGCAATATTTCATCAACCTCCAACAACGTTACTGTGTCACTTTAATGATAATATGATTTTGGTTAAAATGTACTTTAACAGGAACAGTGCAAATACTGTGGGTAATGATATCAAATTTAAAAAAGTAAAAAAAAAAGTACTTGCATGTAGAACTTATTGAGGGATTAATAAAGAACAAAACAGTACAAACGGAAGAAGAGAAAGGGAATAATAAGTCTAGATAACTGATGAAATTCATAAAGAGCATGTGATGTTTTCAGTTTGACTGAGTTGAGATAGATTTAGGAAAGATGTTTTACAGCGGTATGCAAACAGATAATATAACAACTTTATACTTATTTGCAAATTGATACAGATGCAAAACATGTTAAGGTTTACTGAATCGCCTGTGAATCTAAATTGTGTTTGTACATAATACAAAGTATCGTAAATTTACATGCATTTTTCGATCACATAATTAGCAGTATAAATTATAAATTAATAATGTGTATCAATACAATTCAATATGATGATTTCGTATTGATCTGAAAATATTGTGTAGCACTAAAAAGGAAATAACTACATTGTTTTTCTTTTAGAATGAGTTGTCATTTCCAAACCAATGTTTAGTTTATAATCCCATCCATTTGAATATATTGATTCATGTGAAAACCTCAAAAACAAGTTCATTAACAATAATTACTAAATTAATATGATGATCAGGTTAAGCCCGTTTCTATCAAACATTCTCTAACCCAGGAATACTCTCCCAAAACGCTATTTTCTTTCATTACAGAAATGTACTGAGATTCAAATTTCCATTAAGATATTGAGAAATTATATATCACGTAATTATTGAAAGGTGAAATTGTTTATTATATTCCGGATATGGTTTCAATTTAGAATTTTGGTCGAAGGGTTTGATAGATCTGTCATTCAATTTAGAAACTGCTCAACTAGCATTCAAATTAATCGTCACTTGTCGAGACGTCATTTTTATCATTCAAATTAGCACCTGCCATTCGTATTCGAATTATGTTTATCAAATTAGGAATGTTAGGGGGAAGAAATGCAACACACGTTTACAGTTTGAAGAAAAAAAAATTAAATGCATGATTTGCCATCAGGGTCTTTTCTGTTAGGCCAAATAAAAAACAAAACACGTTTAGCGTCCTGTTTTTTCGAAAAATAGGACGGAGGAGGCCCTTTTTTTTTTTTTTTCCTTCAAAATGGCCGCTTAAAATGGCCGCTCGGTACATTTTCCCTGACAGTCGGGCTATTTTTCAAGATCGCCTACAAAAAAAATAATTTTTATTTTTTTAAATCACTGAGATATAGATCCATTTTAGCAGTGTTTTTCATGTTTTTTTTCTTGAAAAAAAAAAATTCCAAAAAAAAATAGGAGGCGGCCCCCCAAAAGGAAGCGGGCGGGGACCTTAGCCCAAAGATATAAACAAACAAAACAACAAAATGGAAAGAAAAAATCTGAGCTGGGGGGGGGGGGGGGGGAGTATATGATAATATAGGATTTCCCGCGGGCCAAATTCGCGAGTTTGTCATTCAAATTAATTTGTCTTGCGTTCAAATTCGACGGTTTTAGTGCAGTCA